TCGCATCGACAAATCCTCCCGCCGCCTTCGCACGTCGCACCCCGACCTCACGGCTCGGCGGGTAACCCGCGCTCCGGGCCTCCGCTTCGACATTTTCCCCAACCTCAGTCCCAGGCCCGTCGCGCGACAACCACAGTCCATTACCGTTACCACTGTAGTTTCGCTATATATTCTTCGCTCATGCCTTCGCTCATTGTACTCCTGCTTCGATAGTGCAATTCTCGCTCGCTCACTCGATTGCACTCGTAACAACATGCCTGATTTGATTGCCAACAGAGGACCACATAAGAAAGGAATTCCAGTTGAGGATTCCTGTATACAGTGCCTGGTCTTTGTCGGATCGAAATATACCCGTTATAGCCAGCTCGAAATCCAACTATTGCAACACAATACTACCAATGACGTAATGAAGGTTGATAATGCCTTTAAAACAGCTGGTATTTTTAATAATCATCACTATATAGGCAAGGGGACACATCTTCTATGCAAGCGCTATAAGACACACTTACTAAAAAATAAAACGTAGAATTGTCACATTACTATTAGAGATAGGGTGGAAGTTCAGATTCGAATATGTTCATGTCCAACTTTTTTTTTTTTTTTTTTTTTTTTTTTTTTTAGTGAAAGCTTACACAACAGGTGCACAAGCAAAACACTTCAGTCGTAACTGATTCTGCGGGCTCAAACCAGGTGGTGTACCCGGCCCTCCCTGCGAACCTACGGCGGTTTCACGAAAGTTCTCGGGTTCGACCAGATCGACTGGAAGTCCCCGTGCCACCTCAGACCCACTGCCATGCTATCGCAGATTCTCCGCATCACGCATGCTTCGTCATCCGCCAGATTCCAACGCGCCTTATCCTTCCGAGCCTGCTTACTTGGCTTGCTACAGTAAACCCGCGCGTGCTTGTTAAACTCCACGTTTATTCTCCGGAGCACCTTCCGAGCCTGAAGCTTCTTGACCTTTTTGAGCGACACATCACACCTCCCCAGCCATATCTGGTGCACCGCTATCGCCATCATAGTTGCTTCCGGAAAACCCGACTTCGTCTCCTCCGCCCCGAACAACAGGTCTGCCAGGTCATCCACGCGCCTCTTCGGCTGCATCATGCATAGCGCCGACTTGACCGCAGCCACCACCGGCTGTATATGGGGGCACTCCAACAGACAATGCTCCAGCGTCTCTGTTCCGCCACAGTGCGGACACGTCACCCCGCCGCCCAAGAAATAGACCCTCTCCCCCACCTGGAGGTTGAGATTCTGCACCCTTAGCAGGACATCTCTCGCCCTTGCCGGGACAGCGAGGGAGTCCCTTACCCTCCTCCCCCGTTCCCAATCAATGCTCCTTCCCGCCCGCGCTTCCCACTTTGCCCGTTTTTCCGCCACAGCTTCCGCCCCTTTGCTCTGTTCCCTGAGTTTCCTCAGCGGAACCACCTCCTCCCCATCAAACAAACCTGACAACAGCAGCCTTACCCTGGGGTCACCTGCGTCCCCCACCACACGCCCCTGGTCGAGCCTCACTGGGGTTACACTCTCACAGCGCAATTCCACTCTGATATTCCACGCAACACGCTCCCCACTGCCGCTCAGGGCTTGCAGCCCTACCCTCCTGCCGGTGGTCCCGCACACCTCCCAGAGACACCTTTTCCGACTCGGTAACGTGGTGCTCACCACCGGCGAGACACCCTTAATCTCCTCCGCCGTTAACGGGGCAAGCAGCCACTCCCTCCACTGCGCCGGGGCCGCATTAAAAGCCTTGAGCGCCATCTCCGCGCTCTTCTTGTCGCCCAGTTCCCGGGCCAGCTCATCCTCAGATTTTACGAGTACCGTGCCATCCCACTTTTGCAGTATCATGTCCTGCATCCGCCACTTCCGTATCAGCTCCGTCCCTTTCTGGCCTCCAAACGGGGCCTTCCCACGGTGCGGAATGTTGCTGTTGTAACACAGATACTCCCCCGCCACATCCCAACGTGAGGCCGCACCAGGTACTGTTACTGCCGACGATTTCAACACTGTCTTGCAAAGCTTCGCCCATCTCCTGCTCCGAAATAAACCCCCCCTTAACACCGCCTTGTGCGCATACAGTGTAGCCCACCCCAATGGCAGGTCAGCAGCAGTCTCCGTCACACCTCTTCTGAGCGGACACCCCTGAAGCAACGCCAAGCCCACACACCGCAGAGCGACACTGTCTACTCTCCCCCTCGGGTCGACCACTCCCAGCCCACCCTGTTCCCTTGGCGCATAAATCAGGTCCCCACTCCATAACCTGAAGTGTCTCTCCGTATCCGCGTGATTCCCTGACACGAAATTCTCTATCAGTGTTTCCACCCTCTTCCACAGCAGATCTTCCGGCGGGTACACCTGGGCTTGGAAGATGAACACTGGCAGCACATAGCTGTTGATGATCGTCACCCGCGCACCCGTCGTGAGATACTTGCTATGCCACTTGCTTAGCTCCCCAGCTGCTTTGTCAAATGCCTTCTCCCACGTGATCTCCCCATTCCCACCTGGCGTAATCCAGACACCCAGCAGCCTTTCCGCTTCATCTTTCTTCACCCACTTAAATTCCGTTCCGTCTGGCGCACTATTGTCCACGTTGCACCCCAGTGGCAGGAGCGCAGACTTCCCCTTATTAACTTTCAGGCCTGACGCATCTGCGAAGTCCTTCAACACCTGCTCCGCCTCCTTCAGCTGGTGCGCACCGTCCAACAACAACGTTGTGTCATCTGCGTACCCGATGTACGCCAGCCGCTCGCAACCTTCCTCTCCTATCCCCAGCTTCCGTTCCTCCACCAAGCGGCTTAATGGCTCCACCGCGCACAGGAAAAGGTAAGGGGCCAGCGGGCACCCCTGCCTCACCCCTTTACGCATTTGAATCTTCTCCCCCACCCAACCATTGACGCACAACCGCGTATGAACGTCTTTGTGCAGTGCCTCGATCCAGCCCATAAACCGCGGTGGAAAACCCAGCTTCGCTATCGTCTCCACCATGAAATCCCGACGCACTGAGTCGTATGCCTTCTCAAAATCAATCAGCAGGAGGTACCAGTCCCTGTTCTTGTTCTTGGCCGCATCGATGATATCCGCTACCAACGACACCGCATCCGTAAGCCTCTTCCCTGGCAGGAAACCGTACTGCTCCCCTGAAATTACTTGGGTAAGAACCTTTTTCATCCTTGAAGCCACCACCTTCGCCAGTATTTTATACGTGCTTGTCAGCAGGGTTATCGGTCTGTAATTCCTGACATCTGTTTCGTCTCCCTTTTTGTACAGCAGGATCGTAACCGCCTCATTCACCACCTCCAATAAAACCCCCGTCTCCATGAAACCCTTGACCATCTTCATCACTGGGCCCTTCAACGACTCCCAGTGAACCTGGTAAAGCTCCTTAGGTAAACCGTCCTTCCCAGGGGATTTGTCATTCGCCAGCTCCCTTATCGCTTGTCTGACCTCCTTCTCTGTCCAGTCCCGGGACAGCTCAACTGCCGATGCATCCTCCAGCACTCTCCGCGGCGACCACTGCAACGACCGCGCCTCACCTCCGTCTGCAGAGCCGACATCAAACGCCATCGTAAAATGCCTCGTGGCCTCACCGAGCACTGCCTTCGCCTCGGAGTAACTGACCCCATCTCGTACCAGCTCCTTAATACCCGTCTTTGCCTTCCTACTCTTCACCAGGCCGAGAGCAGGGCAGTCGGCGCTTCTCCGTCCAGCTGCACCTTTAACCCCGTCCGTGTCTGCAGCAAATTCCTCCGGCCATCCCAATATCTCCTCAGCATTGCCTCCCGAGTGGTCAAGAGAGCCTGTAGCTCATCATCCCCCGGGTCTGCCATGACTCTGCGCTGCAACGTATCCACTTGCGTTTCTAAGGTCCTCCTCGTCTGTCTGACCCTCTTCCTTTCCTCCTTGTCATACTTTCGCAGGCGGGCGTTTAAACACCTTGACAACTTGTCAAACTCCGCGCCGCCACTTTCCTCCTGCGTTCGGACCACATCATCAATTACCGCCTTCACCCCCGGCTTCTTAGCGAGCCTCGCCGGGAACCTCCACACACCAGGACCTGACTCCTGCGGCCCTCTCCACACAAGCCTCACCCGGACGGCGTATTTGTGGTCTGTCAACCCCATCGGCAACCACTGGTGAGACACCCGGGCCACCAAATGCATCAGCGATTGCGATGCCAGCACCCTGTCGATCCTCGAGCTGACCTTCGCCGATCTGCAGTAGAAAGTAAATTGCCTCTCATCCGGATAAAACTCCCGGAACACATCCTTTACATGGAAATCAGATAGCATCTGCTTCATTCTATTGTTGTCACCTGTCACCCCCTGCCGATTCGACTTATCCAGACTCGGGTCCTCAATCATGTTGAAGTCCCCTGCCACCAACAGGTCCTCCCCCCTAGGCAAGCTGGCTGCAACCTCTTTGAAGGCAGAACCCAGGAAGACCCCCCTTGGCGGCGCCTGCCCTGGAAAGTACACCGCTACCAGCCGTACCAGTCTCGTCCCCCACTTCACCCTGACATGCAGCAATCTGCCAGACTGATGTGGACGTACATCTTCAAGCTGCACCCCTTCCTTAAAGCACAGAATAGCCAAACCACCTGCTCTGGTCGGAGCTGCCACCGTGGCCATGCAGCACGGCCTCAACTCCGCCCAAAAGTTATGATCCGCTGGTATCCTTGTGTCTGCTAAAACTACAATGTCTGCCGTTGACTTGATCCACCTTTTTACCGCCTGTTGCTTCCCTAAACTCCCCAAACCGTTGATGTTCAGGGACACGATGGTGAGTCGGTTGGCGTTACTCATTGTTCCACTTCCTTGAGGCCCCCTTGCATCCACAGGGCTTTGAGACAACAACAAGGTTCTCCACTACGTCGCCTGACATACAACATTCTGAGTCCTCAGCACAGCTAACAGCCAACACGTGCACCTTCCTTGCCGCAAGTTGCGCTACCACCCCCAGACTTCCTCCTCTGAGTCCCACAGGTGAAAGAAACAACCTCACACGCCAAACTCCTTCCGCGCGGCCGGCAAAGCGACACCAGCCTTGGAGCTGCGGGTAGCCGCGCCTGACACCGTGCCATCGCTGTGGCGCTGGGAAACAACGTGTTCCGCGGCCTGCGCAAAAGTGACCCCACACGCCTTGTCGCAGCACTCCTGCACGCAGATCCACTCCTCGCGGTTCCCACCGGTCAAAATCAACAACAGCGCCGGGTCCTTCAGAATAAGCCTGGTCAGATCTGTGAGTCTGATTGAGGCGGCTGCGCAGATCCGAGACACCCACTTCATTAGCTCGGTAAGACGACGAAAAGGGTAAGCAGAAACACTTGTTAGAAGACCACATTTTATTACCATTGATCCCATGCACCCGTCCCAAGGACAGGCTCCACTTGCTGATGTTGTTCTGACGCTCCGCCACATACACATCATGATACCTCGTCATATGGAAACCGTTGCAGTAGGAGCAGAGCTGCGACGGATAGTGCACCAGTAACTGCTTGTCACTGTTCACCGGATCTTCCACCAGATGACGCCAACGGTACTTATCTCCCGCATGCGGCCTCACCAGGCCCTTCACTTTGTCCGTATCCATCCCCGTAACAGGATTGACGACGCGATGGAAGCAGCAGCCTTCCTTGAAAGCCGACCTCCCACGCACAACCAGCTTTACCACCACCAGCATCTCGCGAAGCATATCAGGCGTAATGACCGCATCCACCCCCTTGAACAGGACCTCCACCAGCGTTGGGTCAGCCGCACGCGCCTTGACATAAGCCGGATTCACCGGGTGCTGCCAATCCAGGTTAATCCTTGTCTTCCCATCCATACAGACGTGGACAATCCCATGACGCCAGACGAAGTTAGCGTCACGCGCCCGATCAAACGACACCTGAAGACGGCAGTACTGCTTCTTATTCAGGTACTGAGTACCCAGCTCCTGGAACTTGGTAGTGGACTGCACATCGACCCCCAAATCCTTCTTCCAGATTCCGAAAAGCGCACGCAGAGTCGCCTGCACCCGCGTCACCTCCGGCTTGAATTCAACAGGAACCAGCAGAGTGATGGCAAACCGGACCCGTTGCGCCACCTCGCCCTTCGCAGCAGCCTCATAACGCTCCTCGGGGTCATCACTCAGGTAGCCGTCATCCTCGTCATCCTCATCAGCCGTAGTCGTAGCCGTAGCCGTAACTTTGACCCCCGCACCCTTGTCCTGATGCTGACCATTCTCCCCCGTTCCAGATGCAGGTTCCGACACATCCAAGCCGTCCTTCTGAGGCAGCACAGCACCAGTAGTCGCCGTCGCAAGTAAGTCTCGCGCAGCATCTTTAATGCCTTGAGCCGATCCGCCAGGCTGAAGAGCTTCCTTATCCGCTTCCGTGAACAGAGCAGTTGTACGCTTGACCGATGACGCAGCAGAAGCATCAGCCACCAACGGTGACTCCTTAACCTTGTCCTTGTCCTGGGTCACTCCAGACAACCCGTCAGCAGGGCGAACACCACCATTGCGAGTAATCATCCTCGACATAGTGCGATGATGACTTGGCGTAAAACGAAAACCTCCGTGAGGTGAAAGCCGATGTCTGAGCACAATAATAGCCACGCTTTTAAGCTTGCGTTTCCTGAACTTGTATCCCCGAAAACGGGATAACCTTGATGCTTGTTTAGCCACCAGATTAGGCTGTCGCCTCTTGACCAATGATACAGAATGGAGGTAATGCTGTGAAATCCCGGACTGGCTGAAACATTGACATATGTCAGGCTTAGTTGTCGACCTTGTAGGAAACCTAGGAGCCTGTTGAAAAACCTTGGTGTTAGTAGCATTGTCAAGATCAGGGCCTCTCCGAGCACATGGTACAATGTCCGCCTGATGGACACATAAAGTGTACCGATGGCTTCGTAACAGCGAGGCGAGTCCAAATCTGCAACTAATGTTACCAACTGACACGTGTTCTTCACAAGCGAGGCTTCTAAAGCTGTCAGACAACATCCATGGCTGACGCATTGTCATTATTATTGTCATTGTCCAACTACAATATAGTGGGCATAGCGTAGGCGGGGTTTAGACCAGCACACCAAGATTTATAGCAAGAACAGCCTGACAGAATCTTTAGGGAAACGTGGCGCTGAAGGTGCTCGCCACGTAGGCAGTAGGGTGTGCTGCGAAAGACCAAACAGATTCTTTCGATATTGCATTTTGTTCGCAAGAACGTGTAACCACCTTACGAAGCTCAATGCGAAACACGTAACTTCTCAGGCTCGCCTGCTTGCGTGTAGGCAGCACGATCCACGTCATGCGAAGCCCCGAAGTCCCCCCACCGTCCAAATGCTTCGGGCATTTATCTTAACGGTAACACTCATGGAGCTCGAACGCACGCAAGATAGGCCACGTTTCTGAATCGTAACAGAGATGTCTTCTCATCGCCACCATGGTAACCAGCATTGCCGAGATGGTCAACGTTATTGCCTGAATCGTAATGAACAGTGCATCCGGAAATCCTGGCTGGTAACTTCGCGTTCCAACCAAACTGTACACCGTACAAGTCAGGTTTGACTCAGCAAAACGAAACTGAAGTCCACGTATACACCCACAGAATGCGCGATTCTGTTTTGTATACCAGCGCTTACAAACGCAAAACGTTACATGCAGGTATTCGATATAATTTCCTATCACTATTACAGCAAGCAAGTTACGAAAACTCTGGAGAAACAAATGTAGCCTGACTATGTAAAAACTGGGATCAAATTATGTGTTAATACAGTCCATATAATGCCTTGAATGTGCTATTTATTATATCAATAGAATAATTTAATTCTTATGCAATATTTATTGTATGTCATATGCAAAATTAGTATTGTTCAAATTGATATTAAAATTATTTGAACTTGGTCTAGCTCCATTTCATAATATTCGGAAATATTATTATGAAATTGTAAAATATTTGTTTTTCAAATAATTTATCACTAGGATAGATTTGCGGTTGACATTGTGTGAGTGTTCTTTTTTTGGGGGTTTTTTTGATAGTTAGGGCTATATGATTGTATTTTGTTTCTGTTTTTGCTATGGATTACACGTTTGCATTTCGAGGTTTTACGGTCTGGGATTGTAAACGTCGATATTATAAATAGAATTGCGCATTCTGTGGGTGTATACGTGGACAGTCAGTTTCGTTTTGCTGAGTCAAACCTGACTTGTACGGTGTACAGTTTGGTTGGAACGCGAAGTTACCAGCCAGGATTTCCGGATGCACTGTTCATTACCATTCAGGCAATAATGTTGACCATCTCGGCACTGCTGGTTACCATGGTGGCGATGAGAAGACATCTCTGTTATGATTTGGAACCGTGGCTTACCTCGCGTGCGATCGAGCTCCGAGAGTGTTACCGCTAAGATAAATGCCCAAATCCTTCCCTTGGGAATGACGAGGAAGCAATTTATTCAAGAATGGATGTGCCACATTCTTGATAGACTCGGCTTTCAGACTTCACATCAGCGAAGAGCTAACTGCCAGTCTTCTTGGTCGAATCAAATCTAGGGACTGCCATACCTGCTCATCCCCGTACGCTATCCAGAGCGGGTTTCGCGTTCTTCGTCTCGTCATCGTCGAAGCCCGATGGCCACCATGTCGCTTCAAGCTCTCTCGTCCGCGTCCACGCTCGTCCCCTCGCCATCCCTCCTAAAGGCTTCCGCCACCACGAGGACAAATGCCGCGGTTTCTTCGAAGCGGACTGTCGTGCGCGCTCTTAAGGTGCGGGGATATCTACTGTGCCGCTCCCCTGGTACTACCGTAAAGTGAACCAAATTACTTTTCAGAAACACCTTCTTTTCTGGTTCTTTCCGCTCCACATGTTCCTGTTGGGCAGAGTGACAGTACCGAGGGCGGGCGCGAGCAGGAAGGCGGGAGCGGCGCGTCGTGGGGGGAACGATGGCGGCAACAGCACGCGGTGGCGGCGGTGGCGCTCGCGGCAGCAGCGGCTGTGGCGGGCCCGTTTGTGCCCGACGCGGCATTGGCATACATCGTACGTGAAGTGATGTCTACGGGTCAGGTCTGGGAGGCAGGGGAAATGAAATATATATGAGCGAACGAGAGGGTTCAAGTTTGAACGATGGTGACAGCAGTGCGCGGCAGCGGCTGTGGCGGGCCCCTTTGTGCCCGACGCGGCATTGGCATACATCGTACGTGACGTGATATTTATGAGTCGGATCTGGGAGGCAGGGGGGAAGGAGAGGTTGAATGAGCGAAAGAAGGAATAACTCGGCTGTGGCGGGCCCATCTGTGCCTGACGCGGCATTGCCATACATCGTACGTGGTGCGAATGAGGTGCTACCTGCGCACCATGCACGCACATGCGTACCTGCATTACTATTATCTCCCTGTATCCGCCCTTCCTTAAACACATTCTCCGCTCCGCCGTCCCTGTCTGCCCGTGCGTCCCAGGGAGGAGGTCCGTACGGTCGCGAGGTGACACGTGGCCAGGACCTGACGGGACGGGACTACAGCGGGCTGGACCTGCGGGGGCAGGACTTCAAGACGGTGGGTTGGTTTGATCTGGAAACCGCTCCGTTGACTTTCGCGTTGACTTGCGTTGTCTCGCGTTGAGTTGCATTGACTCGCGTTGACGTGCGCTGTCGTGAGAGGGAAGGCATGCGGTTGGGAGTCCTGTTTAGAATGAATGAGAGAAGCCGTCGATTGATCTGTCTCTCTTACGGTTCGCTGGTTCTGGGCAAGGCCTCACTCGCCCAGCTCCCAGCCAACTCGTGCTGGTCTCTCTTAGTCTCAAACCACTCCAACTGTCTCCCTCTTACATTCAGTCTCGCCTTGTCGGCCAACCGTCCCATTTTGTGACCTCCCACCTCCCTTTCCCCCCCCCACTCCCCTTAACTCCACGACCTGCCTCCATCCCCTTCATCCCCCCGTCTCCACCTCCCTCCACCACTCTGCACCCCCCACCACCCGGCCCGCCCACAGTCCATTCTACGCCAGGCGAATTTCGCCGGGGCGAACCTCATAGGGGCTTCCTTTTTCGACGCCGACCTCACAGGTAACCTCCCCTCACCGCCTCACAGGTACCACCTCCCCTCTCGCCGCCTCACAGGTACCACCTCCCCCTGCCGCCTCACAGGTACCACCTCCCCTTGCCGCCTCACAGGTACCACCTCCCCTCGCCGCCTCACAGGTACCACCTCCCTCTACCCTTGCCAATGCCACCTCACAGATGGCACCTTCCCCGCAAGGAAGGACCCCACAGAGAAACTTTTCCACCTCCCTCCACCCTTGCATATGCCATTTCACACCTAGCAACCGAGAAACATTTCCACCTTGGCATATGCCATTTCACAACCAGCAACCGAGGTAACACCTCTACCACTGTGCAAATGATTTCACGCAAATGATTTCGCGCAAATGAGCAAATGAAATTGTGCGAATGAAACCCTTGCAGGTAAACAAACCCTCACCCTCCCATCCCATTGCTGAACGCTTTCACCATTGCACAGAGAGCACCTTTGAAGTGGCGAATGCATCGAGCCCTCTATCTTCCCCTCTCCCCTCTACCCCCTCTCCACTTCTCCTCCTTTCCCTCTCGGGATCTATTCCATCAACCTTGCTTTGCTCGCCAACCTCGTTCCTCTCCCCCCTGGTTCATCCCCATCTTCACTCCTTGAGGGGACTTCACGCCATCAGTCTCTGTGCTCCCCACCTCTCCTCCCCCCACACACATCAGGAGCGGACTTCACGGGTGCCAACCTCACTGCGGCTGACTTCTCCCTCACCAGCGCAAACAAGGTGCGGACTCAAAAGCAGCGCAAACAAGGTGCGGACTCAAAAGCAGCGCAAACAAGGTGCGGACTCATAAGCAGCGCAAACAAGGTGCGGACTCAAAAGCAGCGCAAACAAGGTGCGGACTCAAAAGCAGCGCAAACAAGGTGCGGACTCAAAAGCAGCGCAAACAAGGTGCGGACTCAAAAGCAGCGCAAACAAGGTGCGGACTCAAAAGCAGCGCAAACAAGGTGCGGACTCAAAAGCAGCGCAAACAAGGTGTGGACTCAAAAGCAGCGCAGACAAGGTGCGGACTCAAAAGCAGCGCAAACAAGGTGCGGACTCAAAAGCAGCGCAAACAAGGTGCGGACTCATAAGCAGCGCAAACAAGGTGCGGACTCAAAAGCAGCGCAAACAAGGTGCGGACTCAAAAGCAGCGCAAACAAGGTGCGGACTCAAAAGCAGCGCAAACAAGGTGCGGACTCAAAAGCAGCGCAAACAAGGTGCGGACTCAAAAGCAGCGCAAACAAGGTGCGGACTCAAAAGCAGCGCAAACAAGGTGTGGACTCAAAAGCAGCGCAGACAAGGTGCGGACTCAAAAGCAGCGCAAACAAGGTGCGGACTCAAAAGCAGCGCAAACAAGGTGCGGACTCAAAAGCAGCGCAAACAAGGTGCGGACTCAAAAGCAGCGCAAACAAGGTGCGGACTCAAAAGCAGCGCAAACAAGGTGCGGACTCAAAAGCAGCGCAGACAAGGTGCGGACTCAAAAGCAGCGCAGACAAGGTGCGGACTCAAAAGCAGCGCAGACAAGGTGCGGACTCAAAAGCAGCGCAGACAAGGTGCGGACTCAAAAGCAGCGCAAACAAGGTGCGGACTCAAAAGCAGCGCAGACAAGGTGCGGACTCAAAAGCAGCGCAAACAAGGTGCGGACTCAAAAGCAGCGCAAACAAGGTGCGGACTCAAAAGCAGCGCAAACAAGGTGCGGACTCAAAAGCAGCGCAAACAAGGTGCGGACTCAAAAGCAGCGCAAACAAGGTGCGGACTCAAAAGCAGCGCAAACAAGGTGCGGACTCAAAAGCAGCGCAAACAAGGTGCGGACTCAAAAGCAGCGCAAACAAGGTGCGGACTCAAAAGCAGCGCAAACAAGGTGCGGACTCAAAAGCAGCCAGCGCAGCCAAGTTGGGAAAAGGTGCGCTGGGTGGCACCAAGGCGGCGTTACACCCCTTCCTGACTCCTGACGCCCTTGCGACGTGATATATTTGTAGTTTTGAGACGTCTCAAAACTCCTGACGCCCTTGCGACGTGATATATTTGTAGTTTTGAGACGTCTCAAAACTCCTGACGCCCTTGCGTCATCCTGCTGTTTTTCTTTCCTTTGATAACGTTCTCTTGCTCGAACCTCCTCTTGCTCTCTTCCCCCCCCCTCTCCCTCTCCCTGCTGCAAGCTGTCTTCTCCCATGCCTGTTTCCGAGGCGCCTCATAAACAAAACCTTGCCCTCCTTGCCCTCCTTGCCTACCTTGCCCTCCTTGCCTACCTTGCCCACTTGCTCCGCTGCTGCCACCCGCACTCACCTCCCTCTACATCAGGCCAACTTCACCAACGCCATTCTGGAAGGCATCTCATTCACCGGCGTCGAGACGTTTCAACTTGCTGCAACCCGCTCACCCCCATCCGCCATCCCCCCATCCCTCCCCCTGCATCAGGCCAACTTCACGAACGCCATTCTGGAGGGCATCTCATTCACCGGCGTCGAGTCGTCTCGACTTGCTGCAACCCGTTACCCGCTCACCCCCATCCCCCACCCCCCCATCCCTCCCCCTGCATCAGGCCAACTTCACGAACGCCATTCTGGAGGGCATCTCATTCACCGGCAACACGTCCTTCAAAGGCGCTATCATCACCGGCGCTGGTCAGTGCTGCACTCCCTTCCTCTAGCACTCACTCCCAGTCACCCTCCTTCTCTTGCTGCCTCTCTCTCACTCGCCTTCACCCGGATCGCGTCCTTCAAGGGCGCCATTATCACCGGCGCTGGTCAGTGCTGCACTCACTCCCTTTAGCACTCACTGCACCGCTCCTTCCTTCCCTCTCACTCTCACTCCCTCTGCCTCTCTCTCACTCGCCTTCACCCGCAACACGTTCTTTCAAGGGCGCCATTATCACCGGCGCTGGTCAGTGCTGCACTCCCACCCGCGCCCTCGCCCTCCCGCTCTCTGTCTCTCCTTCACCTTCTTCACTATGCCACGTGATAATAAGTTGTATTTGAGACGTCTCAGGGCGTATCTCAGTTCGGGTCATGGGCACTGTTTGGGTCATCCAAGATTCTTGGACGGCCAATAAGGCGCATTTCAGCTACACTACTGGAATACCATTGGTCCTCCTATGACCCGAAGTGGCCTTATGACCCGAACTGAGATACGCCCTCAAAGGCAACATCTCCTTGAACAAATCTACCCTTAATGTCGCTAGCTCTCCTATCTCGGAGATTTGGGGTTGTTTTTGACAGCAGATGCGTGATTGTGTGCAGGTGCATGTGCGTGTGGGGAATGTGGTTCACTCACCACTCCATCCCCGTACCCAACCTCGATCCCGATACCCATTCCTGTCCACGTCCCCGCATCCATGCCAATGCCCGTGCCCATCCCCGTGCCCATCCCATGCCGATCCCGTGCCCATCCTGTGCCCATCCCGTGCCCATCCCTATCCTTGCCCTGTTCCCGTCCCTCTCCCTGCGTCCGTGCCCATCCCCGTGCCCATCCCCGTGCCCATCGCCCCTGCAGACTTCACAGACGCGTACTTTGGTGCGGACCAGGAGGCATACCTCGAAAGCCATCCTCATGCCCCATGCCCATGCCCCATGCTGCCTATGCTCATCTCCCCATCCCCATGCGCATGCCCACATCCACGCCCACCACCATCCCCCCCCCTGCAGACTTCACGGACGTGTAATTCCGAGCGGACCAGAAGGCGTACCTCTGCAGAGCGACTTTTGAGGTGCCTCCAAAGTCAACCCCGTCCCCATGCCCATGCCCATCTCCCCATCCCCGTGCCCATCGCCCCTGCAGACTTCACGGACGTGTACTTCCGAGCGGACCAGAAGGCGTACCTGTGCAGAGCGGCTGAGGGGTGAGTCGGGGTTGGGTTGGGATGCCGATGCAACAGCAGGTACGAGGAGCCATAGTTCTTGACGAGTGTTGCAGTCGCGTGCTGTGGATCAGAAGTCGTACTTTTGCAGAACGGTTGAGGGGGTGAGATGGGTTGGGATGCCGATGCAACAGCAGGTAGGAGGAGCCATAGTTCTTGAGGAGCGTTGCAGTTGTGTGCTGCAGATCAGAAGTCACCTCGTACCTCTGCAGAGCGGCTGAGGGGTGAGTTGGGTTGGGATGCCGATGCAACAGCAGGTAGGAGGAGCCATAGTTCTTGAGGAGCGTTGCAGTTGTGTGCTGCAGATCAGAAGTCACCTCGTACCTCTGTAGAGCGGCTGAGGGGTGAGTTGGGTTGGGATGCCGATGCAACAGCAGGTAGGTGCCGTAGTTTCCGAGGGGTGTTGCAGTTCCGCGCTACAGATAAGAAGTCGTACCTTTGCAAAGCGGCTGAGGGGGAGTGTGTGGTACGGTGTACCTGTGTGTCAACCATGCTCCCATGCCATGGCCATTGTGGGATGCTCCCTTCCACCGGAACCCCCAGGTTTTTACCACTTCTGCCCTTCTCCTCTGCTTCCACACCACAACTTCTCTCCCCATTATCTCCCTCCCTCGTTACTTCCACCACTTTCCTTGCCATTCCTTCCCCATCCTTCTCTCACTTTTGAATCCCCTTGACTCGACCCCTCCCAACCCAACCCCACCCACCTTCCCCTCCACTTGCAAGCAGCACTAATCCTGTCACTGGCAACGACACCCGCGACACTCTGCTCTGCTAGCTGCTCTGCTTCAGTCTCCGTGCTTGAGCCCTCTCCACTGCGTCTCTAGAGACCTGTTTCCTTAAAGAGTTGCATTCCTTCGTGTAGCTGCTCCAGTTTTCGGTGTTTTCTCCAGTTTTCCCGAGCAACTAGGATCACTTCACACTGGTCCCTGCAGGTGCTGCAACTGCTTTTCCTGCCCTCCTTCGCCTGAGGTTTTGTGAAGACTGAACCATGTTTATACCAGCGTCGTCGCATGTACAGTTCCATTGTTGAGCCAAACTGGTATATTGTTGTAGAAAACCTGAACACGCCAGCCTCTATGGAAAAGGGCATAGTATTCGCACTGTCAATATCTAACAGTGACAACTGACGTACCTTACACTGTTGCCAGTGTACAAGGCACGCACACAGAACAACACTTCCTGTACAGCAAAACAAACTACTACCAAACCTTTATTGGAGAAGTGCGTGCAAGCGTGCGTTACCACCAGAGCAACTGAAGCTTTGGTGACAGTAGCACCATATGCCTATCTGTGCGGTGCGAGTAGCACCTGTGACCTGTCGCATGCCCATCGGGCCATCAGGCAACCATTGACTCCATGCTCTGTACCGTGCATCATACTTGGAACAGGAATCTGAGGTCTTCTGTTGTGAGGCGCGACCGGTTCATAGCTGTGGCTGACTCGCCATATGCACTCTCGATCATCGTGCGCTTGCGCTCCTGTTCACGTGGCAGTGAGCCCAGGGAGATTTTTACAGGCATTTGGGTTGGGGGACAGATGAGTTTAGCATGAGAAATAGCGTGATTGTTCCAGAGCAACTGAAAATGCATGTGACACCGGCAGTTGAGAGAAACAGAACAGCACTGCCATCATCACCACCACGGCTGCTCAACACGCTCAAAGAGCACTTTTCACCAACCAGCCACATACACTCGGCCATGGTGAAGCGCGCCACTCGCACGGGGCGGGTCTGGCTAATGCCTCATCCCAGCCAGCCCTCGTACGCACCTGCAGCTCCAGGATCCAACCCCCCGAGACCCTCCCCCACCCACCTGCAGCTCCAGGATTCGGTCCTCGATGGTATCGGCCACGGTGAAGCGTGCCACGCGCACGGGGCGAATCTGGCCGATGCGGTGCGCACGGTCAATTGCCTGATCCTCCACTGCGGGGTTCCACCAGAGGTCCATGAGTATCACGTGGTTCGCCGCTATCAGATTGAGCCCCACGCTGGCTGCTTTCAGGGACACGAGGATCACCGTGATCTGATGAGGGGGAATGGAGGGAGAGAAGGATCACAAAGGGGAGGGGAGGAATCATATGGAGCTGTTAGGCACGGTCGATGGCCTGATCCTCCACTGTGGGGTTCCACCAGAGATCCATGAGTATCACATGATTCGCCGCTATGAGATTGAGCCCCACGCTGGCTGCTTTCAGAGACACGAGGATCACCGTGATCTGATGGGGGGGGGAGAGAAGGGTCACGAAGAAAATCACTGTGATGTGAATGGGTGCAGGGATGGGGGTGTTAGGCTGCACAATACAAGTACTGAGGGGTGTGTTGGAGTGCGTTCGAGAGGCCACTGACATGGTGCCATCGAGGCGCACGTGGGGGATGGCGGCAACAGCCAGGTGCAGCGGCCTTGGGAATACCACCTCCCAGCCTTGGGAATACCACCTACCAGCCTTGGGGGTACCACCTACCGGCCTTGGGAATACCACCTACCAGCCTTGGGGGTACCACCTACCAGCCTTGGGAATGCCACCTACCAGCCTTGGGAATACCACCGACCAACCTTGGGAATACCACCGACCAACCTTGGGAATACCACCGACCTGTGGATCAGAGGTGAAATCAGCGATGGCCCTGTCTCGAGCGGTGACGGACATGGTGCCGTCGAGGCGCACGTGGGAAATGCCAGCAGCAGCCAGGTGCAGCTCGAGGAGATCCAGCAGGCGCGTCCACTGCGGAAACACTATCGCCTTCCCCCTCACCATTAAGGGAGAGCCAGCACTCACTATCGCCTTCCCCCTCACCATTAAGGGAGAGCCAGCACTCACTATCGCCTTCCCCCTCACCATTAAGGGAGAGCCAGCACTCACTATCGCCTTCCCCCTCACCATTAAGGGAGAGCCAGCACTCACTATCGCCTTCCCCCTCACCATTAAGGGAGAGCCAGCACTCACTATCGCCTTCCCCCTCACCATTAAGGGAGAGCCAGCACTCACTATCGCCTTCCCCCTCACCATTAAGGGAGAGCCAGCACTCACTATCGCCTTCCCCCTCACCATTAAGGGAGAGCCAGCACTCACTATCGCCTTCCCCCTCACCATTAAGGGAGAGCCAGCACTCACTATCGCCTTCCCCCTCACCATTAAGGGAGAGCCAGCACTCACTATCGCCTTCCCCCTCACCATTAAGGGAGAGCCAGCACTCACTATCGCCTTCCCCCTCACCATTAAGGGAGAGCCAGCACTCACTATCGCCTTCCCCCTCACCATTAAGGGAGAGCCAGCACTCACTATCGCCTTCCCCCTCACCATTAAGGGAGAGCCAGCACTCACTATCGCCTTCCCCCTCACCATTAAGGGAGAGCCAGCACTCACTATCGCCTTCCCCCTCACCATTAAGGGAGAGCCAGCACTCACTATCGCCTTCCCCCTCACCATTAAGGGAGAGCCAGCACTCACTATCGCCTTCCCCCTCACCATTAAGGGAGAGCCAGCACTCACTATCGCCTTCCCCCTCACCATTAAGGGAGAGCCAGCACTCACTATCGCCTTCCCCCTCTCCTCCGAGGGAGTGTTTACTAGTGCTAGATCTCTCGCCACCTCCTCCCCTGCATTCGGTAATCCGTTCTCCTGTGCCACAGGCACCAGTGCCAGCTCACGGTGTTCTGTGCTTGCCCTCGCTTGCCCGTCTGTCGCCCTGACTGTTGTGTTTGCCACAGGAGCAGCAAACAGAGGGGCAGGTGGAGGAGGAGCGGGGCGGGGGAGGTGGGCGGCTGCAGGGGGTGCGAGGGGAGGGAGGTGAGCAGATGGTGTAGGAGAGGCAAGGGGCGGATGGGGCACAGGGGCAGCAGAGGGAGCGAGTGGTGCAGGGGCAGCGGAGTGAGCGTGAGAGACAGGGGCAGCAGTGGGTGCATGGGTTGCAGGGGCGGCAGAGGGTGCATGGGGTGCAGGGGCGGCAGGGGCAGCAGGGGCGGCAGGGGAAACTGAAGGCGGCAGTGCCACATGCCGCAGCGCTGATGCAAGCGCCGCTGCTGAGATCTGGAACCTAGCTGGACTGCCACACGCCCCTCTTGCTCCACCTCCACTCCCCTCACCACCTTCCACGGAACCTTCCTCGCACCCCTTTGCCATCCCAGCTGCTTGCCAAGACCCCGCCTCTCCCGCCTCTTCCGCCTGCCCAATCTGCCCCGCCTGCCCAATCTGCCCCGCCTGCCCAATCTGCCCCGCCGGCCCAATCTGCCCTGCCTGGTCTGCCTGCCCCATCAGCCCAACCAGCCTGGCAGTGTTTTCCTCACTCAACCCCACCCCCACCTCCACCCCCACCCCCTCCTGTGCCTCCTGCTTCTCCGCCTTCACTACTCCCCCAGCCACATCAGCCCCCGCACCCCTCATCAGAGCAGCTCTTGCCCCCCCGGCCCCTTGCTCTTCCCTCTTGACTGTGGCACGACCTGCTGCAGCAGGTGTAGACTCAGGTGCAACAGATGCTGCAGCAGGTGTAGAGTCAGGTGCAACAGATGCTGCAGCAGGTGTAGAGTCAGGTGCAGCGACAGTTACTGAAGCAATTGCAGGCTTGACATCAGGCACGTCAGGTCTAGAACCAGGTGCAGCAGAAGCTAAAGCAAAGACAGCAGGTTTTACATCCGGGACGTCAGGTGTTGAGTCAGGTGCATCAGGTGGTGGACCAGGTGGTGGTAGGTCAGGTGCCCGCCCACCTGATGGACCAAACACCCCTGCATCCCCATCCCCACCACTCTCAACCATTTCGTCTTTCACTGCACCTCCTGTCAAACGTGCAGACGGTACATCAGGTACCCACCCACCAGGTGCCCCTTCCCCAGGTGCCCCTTCCCCAGGTGTCCCTTCCCCAGGTGCCACATCTGCCCCTGGCGGCCCCACATCCTCCTCCTCCAGCACAGCGCTTGCCGCAATCTCTGCCCACAGCCCCGCCATCCACCCTGCCTCCTCTGGTTCTTGCTTCTGTTCTTGCTGTTGCTGTTGCTGCTGCTGTTGCTGTTGTGGTTGTTGCTGTTGCTGCTGCTGCTGCTGTTGCTGTTGTGGTTGTTGCTGTTGCTGTTGCTGCTGCTGTTGCTGTTGTGGTTGTTGCTGTTGCTGTTGCTGCTGCTGTTGCTGTTGTGGTTGTTGCTGTTGCTGCTGCGGCTGCACACTCGTCCCTTCTCCCTGTTGCAACAATCCCCCATCACCTCCCCCGTCGCATGCCTCCTGCTTGACCTCTCCCAGGCCCCCAACCCCACCAGAATTTCCACCTGCACCTGCTGCACCAGCGTCATGTCTCGTTGCACAGTCTTCTGCACCCCCTCCCACTGCCCCACCTCTCACCTCTTCCTCCACAGAGGGAGGGGTAGAGGAGGGAAGGGAGGTGGGAGGAGTGGAAGTGGGAGGTGCGGAGGTGGGAGGTGGAGGTGGAGGAGTGAAAATGAATGAATTGGAGGTGGGAGGGGTACTTGAGAGAACAGGGCCAGAGACAGTACGTGCACTGGGTGGGGGCATGGTGGGATGCGATGGCGGGAGGGAAGAGGGATGGGAGGATGGGAGAGAGGCGGGACCGGAGAAGGGAATGGAGGAGGGAAGGGAGGAGGGAAAGGAGGATGGGAGAGAGGAGGGAAGTGAGGAGGTGGGAAGAGTAGCAGCAGCAGGAGGAGAAGCAGACGAAGGAAGGGGAGCAGGGAGCATGAGAGGGAGGGCAGCAGCAGCAGCAGGGCCAGCGGAAGAAGGAGGAGGAGCAGCGGGCATGAGAGGGAGGGCGAGAAGGTAGTTGAGGACGGCACGAGCCTTGGTGGACATGCGCGAGGGAGAGAAGAAGAGCGGATCATTTTCAGCCTCCAGCTGCTGCTGCTGCTGCTGCTGCTGCTGCTGCTGCTGCTGCTGCTGCTGCTGCTGCTGCTGCTGCTGCTGCTGCTGCTGCTGCTGCTGCTGCTGCTGCTGCTGCTGCTGCTGCTGCTGCTGCTGCTGCTGCTGCTGCTGCTGCTGCTGCTGCTGCTGCTGCTGCTGCTGCTGCTGCTGCTGCTGCTGCTGCTGCTGCTGCTGCTGCTGCTGCTGCTGCTGCTGCCCTCCCCTCCTGTCTGCCAGTGAAGTTGGTGCTAACGCGCCTGCCGCTGCTCCCATCCCCATCCCACCCCCACCACCACCCATCACCACCCCTCCCGCACCCATCCCGGCGCTCCCTCCACCTTCCAGCTCCGAAAACTGGCAGAGCGAAGCAGGCGAGAGGGCTTTGGAGCAGCAGGGGCAGAGGGCGGGATCACACTGAGCGAGGTGCTGCAGGGCACATTGCTCGCAGAAGGTGTGCAGGCACACCGACAGCACCGGCACCTCCGCTGCATCCCCACATAACTCACACACTGCCTCTCCCCCCACCTGTGCAACCTGCCGAACTAGCTCGGCGCGCTTACCCACTGATAGCCTCCCTACTGACCCGGCAAACACACTCCGCCTCCCCGGCGCCCCACCACTCCCCCCTCCCCCTCCGCCAGCCCCGCCCCTCCCCCGCGATGCTGCTCCTCCTCCTCCATTGCCTCTGGTCCGGGTGTCTGGCGCGATGGGGGCGCCCTTGGCGAGGGCGGGGTGGTTGCAGGCCTGGCGCAGGCGCAGCAGCATCGTGAGAATGTGCATGTAGTTGTTTTGCACCGTGCCCGCTGCCGCGTAGTCCTGGTAGGTTGAGAGGTGGGGAGAAGGGAGGAAGGACAGAGATATGGTAGAGGGGATGAAGGGAAGGAAGGCGCAGCAGCATGGTGAGAATGTTCATGTAGTTGCTCTGCACTGTGCTCCCTGCCGCGTAGTCCTCGTAGGAGCAAGGGGAGAAAGAGGGGAGGAGAGGGTGGGGATGACTGCAGGCGCAGCAGCAGCATGGTGAGAATGTGCATGTTGTGGTTCTGTACCGTGCCTGCTGCCACATAGTCCTGGTGAGAAGAGAAGGGGAGGAAGAGGAGAGAGAAGAGGGACGAGAGTGGGAATGAGGGCAGGAAGCAGTGCGATGAGGATGTGCATGTAGTTGCTCTGTACCCCTGCACAGGACGTGTTGCACAGTTCTGGTGAGAAGAGAGAGGAGAAGGGAGAGGGGAGTAGAGACAGATAATAAGGGGGATGAGGGATGCGCATGTTGTCCTGGCAGGGAGAAATTTTCTATTGATGCAGAAGGGGTGGAACTGGCAGCGCCAGGAGGCCTCAACCTCAACTGAGAGGTAGAAGGATGTTCTTTCAGATTGGGGGTGAACTGTGTAGGTAGAGTGCATGTGAATGTACTCTTAAAAGCAGCTGCGGCTTCACTCACGTGGAACTGGCGCTTGGAGGAGGCCTCGAGAGAGAGATAGAAGGCCCTCTCCTCTGCTGTGAACTCCGCTCGCTGCAGCGCCACTATGCGCGGTGGCAGGTTCACTATGGGCGCCCCCTTGATGCGCGTGGCTGGTGGGGTGGGGGGACAGGAGAGGGCGGAGCAGAGGGAACGGGAGAATGGAATGATGAGGATGTGCCACTACATGAGGTGGCAGGTTCACTATGGGCGCTCCCTTGATGCGCGTGGCTGGTGGGGGAAGTGGGGGAGGGCAGGTAAGGTCGGCGAGCAGAGGGCAGGGGAGAAGGGGATGATGGGGATCACTGCACCACCACTATGTGCGGCGCCAGGTTCACTCACAGCGGGCGCACCTTTAATGGTGGTGCGGGTACTCGTGTGATTGATGCAGCACAGCTGACCAACCAACTAACAACTAGTACACACCTTAGGTGCATCTGCGCAGAGCATCACAGCGAGCAGCACAGCCGGCAGGCGCTCAAAGCCCTGGGACGGGTTGACTCGGCCCTTGATGAACTGTGGTGCGGAACGGAGCGTACTCGTGTGATGCAGCACAGCAAGCAGGGACTCAGGGACTTACCCTTGGTGCGGCGGAGCATGACAGCGAGCAACACTGCCTGCAGGCGCTTAAACCCCTGGGAGGGGTTGCGCGTGATCGGATCCTTGATGGTTGTGCGGAAGGATGCGTACTCATGTGGGACAGCAAGCAAGGACTCAGGGACTCACCCTTGGTGCGGCGCAGCATGACAGCCAGCAGCACGGCCTGCAGGCGCTTAAAGCCCTGGGAGGGGTTGCGCGTGATGGGGTCCTTGATGGTGGTGCGGAAGGACGCGTACTCGTCGTACGGGGTGAAGCGCAGGAAGCGCAGGTAGGAATACACATCGTCCACCGCATTCTGCATGGGCGTTCCCGACAGGCACCACCGCTTCTTGGCCCTCAGAGCCCAACATGCTCTCGCTACCTGGGGGTGGGTGGGGGGAAGGTCAACCAGGAAGCACAAGAAGCGCAGGAAGCGCAGGTAGGAATACACATCGTCCACGGCGTTCTGCATGGGCGTTCCCAACAAGCACCACCGCTTCTTGGCTCTTAAATCCCAGCACGCCCTTGCCACCTGAGGGAGGGGAGAGGAGGGGGATGAAGGGGATGAAGGAGATGAACGGGGCGAGTGCAGGTAGGAATACACGTCGTTCACCGCGTTCTGAGCGTCGTCGTGCATGGGAGTACCGGAGAGGCACCACCACTTCTTGGCTCTCAACGCCCAGCACGCCCTTGCCACCTGGGGGAGGGTGCAATGGGGAAGGAGAATGGTTTTGAGGCGTGGAACAGCGGAACAGCGCGTACTCATCATACGGGGTGCAGCGCGGGAAGCGCAGGTAGGAATACAATACACATCGTCCACTGCGTTCTGCATCGGCGTGCCCGACAGGCACCACCGAATCTTAGCGTGAAGGCATGCATATGCCACTAACCCCCCCGCCCCTGAATTGATCTGGTGGCCTTATCACCCACCCACCTGCGTGTTGCGGTTCTTAATGGCCTGAGCCTCGTCCAGCACCACTCGCTGCCACGCCACCCCCGCAAGCGGACCCCCCCACACTCCCCCCACTGCCCCCACTCCCACCCTCACCACCACCCGCCTTCCTCTTCCCCCCCGCCCCGCCCCCACCACCCCCACCAATCCCCATCACCTCCTCCCACGAGGGCTCTTTCCCTTTGCCCTTCCCCCCCTCGCCCCCATCACCGCCTCTACTTCCCCCCACGTCCATGGCGGCGATGGCATAGGTGGTCAGCACCACGTCGTACGATGCCACCTCCGCTGCACTCCGCGTGCGCCCCGGCCCATGATACACCAGCACCGATAACCCTCTTCCCCCGCCCCCTCTTCCTCCTACTCCTGTGTTTCCTCCTCCTCTCCTCCCTCCTCCTTCCCCAGTTCCACTAGCCAACCTCTCGTCTCCCACACCGCCAGCAGCGCCAGCAGAACCAGAAGCAGCAGCAGTGCCTGCTGCATCCCCCAGGGCACCTACGCGCTCGCGTATTTCCCGCTCCCACTGCCGTAGAATGCTCGTGGGGCACACCACCAGCGTGCCGCCGCTCACACGCTTGCCCCTGCCACCTGTACCGCACGCTGCTGACGTGGCAGCTGCTGATGCAGCAGCTGCTGACGTGGCCGCTGCTGACGTGGCGGCTGTAGAAAGCTCAGGTGGCGTTGCTGCACCTGCCACTGACAGCATTGGAGCTGCTAGTCGTTGTTTCTTCCCATCCCATCTCCCCCGCCCCCTCTCCCTCTCCTCGTCTTCCTCCTCCAGATCAACCACTTCCATCTTGCTGCTGCTCCCTACTCCCATTCCTCCTCCTCCTGATGTTGCCACCGGCACCGCAGCAGCGGCAGCAGCAGCAGCACCACCACCACTTGTACCAGCGCCAGATGCACCAGCACCAGAAGGACCAGCATCACATGTACCCGCACCACCTGTCAGCAGCAGCATCTGCCCCTCCTCCCCAGCAACCCCCTTCCCCTTCTCCCTCTCCTTCCTCTCCCTCTCCCGGCCCTCCCGCACCCCCAGCACAATGAGTGCAATCGTGGTCAGCGTCTTCCCCAGCCCCTGGTCATCCGCCAGTATCCCCCCAGCAGGGATGGACGCCTCTCTGCGTCTCATCCACGCCACTGCCATGCGTTGATGTGTCAGCAACGGCACTCTTAAAGCCCCTGCCGGCATTTCTACCTCCTCTGCTGTTCCCGCGAGGGAGAGACCTTCCAGAATTTGCCGCATTGCGGTTTGCTGGTCTGGAGGGGGGTTGGGAGGGGTTGGAGAGGGTGCTTGGGGATACAGGTGCGGATGGTGGTGATGGTGGTGGTGGTGGCTGTGGTGGTGGCTGTGGTGGTGGGTGGGATGCGGATGGGTGTGGCTCGGTGGGAGGTGGTTGTGTGTGGTTCCGGCATCCACTCGCATCCTCTTCGCAGCTTGCTCTCCTGCCCTGTCTGTGTCCATGCGCCCACCAACACCACCATTGCTCCCCGTGCCTCCTCGAATGCTTGCCGGCAGCGACCTAAACTGCGGCAATCCAACCGATGGTGAGCTATCCCTTGTAATAAACGGAGCTAGATCAGGTTCTAAGTGTAATGTTGTGTGTGGGTCTATGCTATAGGCTCTGTGTCCCATGCCTGCTGCGTGTGCTGCGGGTGTTGTGACTGCTGTATGCAGCGTGTGTGCTTGCCGTGCCACATGCTGACTCAGCTCAGCCTGTGGCAACCGTTGCACCAGCCCCTCGTCCCGCATGCTCCTGAAGTGCCTCAGAGCGTCAGCCGCACTCCTCCTCCTCGCCTCCACAAACTCTCGCCTCTCCTCCTCCCTATCCGCCCCTCTCCCTCCCATCCCAACCCCAAACCACTGCCGTGCATTACCACCTGCGCCTTCCCTCCCTCTCCTCCTCCCACTCCCACCACCTTCCCCCTCTCCGTCCTCTTCCTCCTCATCATCATCCCCGTGGTCTCGGAGCAGCACGCGCTCGCCAAACCGGTCTCTCACCTCCTGCTCCAGAAGCACCTGCTGCCTCGCCTCCTGCTGCTGCCGCTGCCACTGCAAAACCTCTTGCTGCACCTGCTGCTGCTGCTGGTTAATCTGCTGCTGCTGCTGCTGCTGCTGCTGGTTACCCTGAAGCTGATTACGCTGCTGCTGCCCAACGCTCCCCCGGTCTCTGCTTCGCTCACCTTCGTCCCTCCGATCCCTCTGCCTCTGCGGTGACATAACAGCCTTCAGCTGCCCCAGCTGCTCCCACTGCTGCCTCACCTCATCACCCACCTTATCATCCTCATCATCACTCGCCATACTGATCACACTCAAAACACTACTCTCACTCCCCTCACTCCCCTCTCTCCCTACCCCTTCAACCACACCCCTCCCCTCCCTGCCCTCCCTCCTCCCATCACCAGCACCACCTAATCCCAATCCTGTACCTATCCCCACGCCACTCCCCAATCCCCGAACCGTGTTTCCAGTCGTGCCGCCCACCATGCCGCCCATTACGCCACCCGGCATGCCGCCCGGCACGCTACCCAGAACGCCGCCCGGCACACCGCCCAGAGCGCCACCCGGCATGCCGCCCCCCATGGAGCGCATCATCTGTCTCTGCGCGGTTCTGAGCCTCGCCTGCAGCATGGCTTCCTGCACCTCCCGCCCGCTCAGCTCCATCACATCCTCATCCTCGTTACTAGCCACCCTGTTACTAGCACCACCAGCCCTCCTGCTGCCGTTCATGTTCCCGCTGCTTCTGCTGCCGCCCAATTGCCCCTGCTGCTGTCCCTGCTGCCCCTGCTGCCCCTGCTGTTTCTGCTTCTGCGGCTGCTGCTGCTGCTGCTGTTGCCACAGGAGCTGCTGCAGCTGCTGTTCTGCGTACTCGTTGTCACTACCATCATCACTGTCGGCATCAACCTCATCATCACTCAACCACACCACGTCCATCTCATCCTCTTTCGCTTCTGCACTTGCACTCCTGCCTGCTGAGCTAGCGCCACCAGCACCAGCACCCGCTGTTGCTTTTTCAATCGACTTCAAAGGGCCATCTGCACCTGCTGCTGCACCACCAGCTGCACCTGCTGCTGCACCACCAGCACCAGTGGCGTCGGCAGTGGCAGCGGTGGCGGCAGGTGAGGCGTTGGTGGTGGTGGCAGCGGCAGAAGAACGAGGGCCTGTGGGAGAAGCTGCCGGTGCAGCATCAGCAGCAGCAGCAGCGGCGACGGCGGCAGCAGCAGCAGCAACAGCAGCATCAGAAGAAGCAGGAGCAGCAGGGGGGTCAGAAGCACCCGCAGGATCAGAAGCAGCACCTCCATCCACCGTCAAACCACCATCCTTCGGCAAGCCTCCATCCATCCCCCATGCTGTAACGCTCTCGCCATGCGCCGAGCCTACACCGTTCCCATGCATGCGTGGCGCATCCTCATCTCCTCCCTCCTCACTCTCACTCTCACTCTCACTCTCACTTTCAATCTCACTCTCCCTCTCCCTCTCCCTTTCCCTCTTACTCTCACTCGCCTTTCCCGCTTCCCTCGCAGAAGCACCAGCATCTGCACCCATGACGTCAGCCATTGCGGAATTACCACCGAAAGGTAACCCTATTCTATCACTGTCTGGTAACCCTATTCTATCACTGTCTGGTAACCCAATATTTGCACTGTCCGGCAACCCTAAATCGACACCATCTGGTAACACCGTACTACCACCGTTTATATCAGCAGCATCGGGTAACCCTATGTCGGCACCGTTGGTTAACCCTGCATCAAAACCGTCGAGTAACCCTATATGAGCACCGTCGGGTAACCCTATATTAACAGCGTTGGGTAACCCTGTATAGACACGGTCGGGTAACCCTATATCAACAGAGTGTGGTAATCTTCCAGGAACACGGGCAGAGCCCCCGACATCCGTACCTCCTCTTTCACGGCCGGCTATCCCACTCCCTTCCCTTCCACCCTCCTCCCCCTCCTCCTCGCTTCTCACGTCGCGAAAATCGCCACCGTTAAAATGACCCGCCTTCTCACCATCAACGGTCGCGATGTTTTGAAGATCGCAGTCGGCGTCATCGTTAATTCTCTCCTCAGTGCTACACTCCTCCTGGTTTTCACGGAAGTAATCGCCGACATTAGTGAGTCCGACATCCCCGTTGAAAAGAAACTCGTTATTGACACCGGCTATATCCTGGCTTTTACAATTTTCTGCGCCATCAATTGTACCGACATCCAAACCGAGTGACGTGTCACGCGGGGACGCAGTGGTGACATGGTGTGCTGATGTGGATGGCATCGTACTGCTAGAGCATGCGGCTCGCGCATGAGCTACAAGGCGCAACAGCGACGTCCTGTGCTATGACGGTATCGATTAGTCCTATGCCGCCCTGAATGAACCAGTAGCAAGCGTGACTAAGAGGAACTTCAACAAACCAGAAGCAAACCTGAGAGAAAAGAGCGACAACAAGATTATAAATTAAAAATATAAATTACGTTATTGTATCGCAGCGTGGTCCCATGGTGTAGTGGTCATCACGTTTGCTTTACACGCAAAAGGTCACGAGTTCGAAACTCGTTGGGGCCAGGGTTTTGCGAAATGCACTTCCGAGTGGGTACCTCCTCACCTCTCTCGCAGTTTTTCGCTGGCAGTTGAAGTCGCTTGAAAATTCTCAACAAGCAACGCCCAACACTGACCGCGATTCGTTTTTTTTGCAGACCTTTAGAAACCCAGCCTTTGTTCCTCACAGTTGAGGGAACATAATGAACGTTGTTCCTATTGACGACCCAGCATCGTCGGATCTTTTGACGACTGAGTCAAATCCGTTCGATCGGCTTCCGCAAGAGATCCTCGCCGCCATCTTGCGCCACGTGGCGCCATCCGGCACGTCCTTTCAGCACGCGTTGGTGTGCAAGCGATGGCACTGCGCGGCGTGCCTCGCGCAGTCATCAGTCCACGTAGCGAAATCTCGAGCCATCTCCTCCCCGCGCCTCCTCCTCGCCCTCTCCCGCTTTCCCCGCCTCACCCACCTACATATCGATCGAGACGGAGTCGATTTCTTAGACGACGGGTTCCTGACAATTCTCGCTAAAGGTGCTTGTAACGGGTGTGACAATTACGCGGACGAGGAGAAGGAAACGGAATTGGAGGAGGAGGAAAGTCACGAAGAAGGATCGGGAGCCATTGGCGCCGGGCAGAGATTAGGTCTGAACGGCACTGGCAGTACTAGAGTCGGCGGCAATGGTGGTATAGTGGACGGCACTGGCGGTGGACTGGGCGGCACTGGTGATACAGTGGGCGGCGGCGATCATAAGCCACATGGCATCAGATACTCCAGTGGCATCGGCTCGTCACTGGAGAGAATGGCGAGAATGACCATCGACGGCACCCGCGCAGCAGCACAACCTGCTCTCGCGTCCCCGCTCCCACCGCCGCATACCCAGCCGCGCACCTCCCCTCTCCGCTCTCTCTTCCTCGCGGAGGACCCGCGCTCCCCCCCGCGCATCACAGCAGCAGGCCTGGACTCCCTCTTCCTCCACTGCCGCCTCTTACACTCACTCTCCCTGCACTGCGGCCGTGTAGTCACCGCATTTCCCCCCTCTTTAGTCACACTGCCTGCACTCACATCCCTAGATATTGCCATGCCCTGCCTGGGCAGTCTTCTGGAAAACTTCGGCTCCCTGACCGCCTTGAGGGTTCTTAGGCTGGAAAGCCCCAGTCTTAGCTCTCTGCCTGAAAGCCTCGGGCAGCTGAAATTACTGGAAGAGCTCACTCTTCGGTGCCTGTCTGCCCAGAACCTGCCCGATTGGATCGGGCAGCTTAGCAGACTCACCTGCCTGAACATCGAAAGTTGTTCTTTTCGGCACCTGCCCGAGTCTTTGGGCAGTCTCCGTTCCTTAACCTCGCTTCGCCTATCATCTCTTGACTTCGACTCCTTGCCGGATTCCATCGGCCAGCTTTCCGCCTTGAAACATTGCGTCCTGGAAAAAATGCCCGTGACGAGTCTGCCCAAATTTTTTGGGCACCTGGAAAACCTCTCTGTGCTCCAATTGAACGACTGTGATTCGCTCCTCTCCCTGCCCAACTCCCTCTTCACCCTGCCTTCCCTATCCACCCTTCTCATTGGCTGTTGGGCCCTCCCCGCTCTACCAGACAAAATCTCCCACTTGTCAGTTTTAGAACGTTTGGAGCTAAACTCATGTGAGGGCCTCACCTCCCTTCCAGAATCTCTTTCCGAGCTGCCCGCCCTGAAACACCTCGAAATTTCTTCCTGCCCGTGCCTAAAATCCCTACCAGCATCACTCGGCCAGCTGAAGCATCTAACCACCCTGGAGATCCACAATTGCGACTCGCTCTCGCTCCTCCCCCCATCGCTCCCTCTCCTCCCGTCCCTCTCGCGCCTTGTCATTGTAGGGTGCTCCCATTTGAGAGAGCTTCCGGGGAGCCTGGGCCAGCTGAGCAGTCTACGGGTGCTGGAGTTGGGTCTGTGCAAGAGCCTGAGGAGTTTGCCAGACTCGATAATGGAATTGGGTCGGTTGGAAAGAGTGGTGGTGCTCGGGTGCAGGAGACTGGAGAGTGTGCCGGAAGGGATTGCAGAGATGCCGAGCGTGCAAGAGGTGGTCTTTAGAGAGTGTGATGCTCTTGTGTGACTGTATTGAGACGGTTGGAGCGCTTACGTTCGACATGGGCAAACTTTATGTGAGAGCTGCCGAGTCTAGGGGTGCTGGAGTTGGGGCTGTGCAAAAGCCTAAGGAGTTTGCCGGCTTCCATCATGGAATTGGGTCGGTCAGTTGGAAAGAGTGGTGGTGCTTGGGTGCAGGAGGCTGGAGAGTGTGTCGGAGGAGGGGATTGCAGAAATGGCAAGTGTGCAAGAGGTGGTGTTCAAGGAGGGTGTCGCTCTTGTGTGAATGGTTGAATTGAATGGTAGTGGAGTGGAGACGTGTGTGAGTCGACTCAAATGAGGTGGTGTTTAAGGAATGTGACGCTCTTGTGTGACAGGTAGTGGAGTGGAGACGTTTGAGCCGAGGCTTGAGAAGTCTGCTTGTGGAGGTTGTAGGAGGCGGGGTTGTAGGGATGGTTCAGAGAGAGGGGGGCAGTGTGACATGATCGGTGAGATAACTGTACATGAGGTACTGATTGAAATTGTATATTGTGATGTACCATATTGAGAAAGCTTGCTTTCTGTTCTTGCAATGGCAACGTGCTTCATTAGAATTGCAGTAATTACAGCATTCTCGTCCAACTATAAATCATACATGTACATGATCAGGGTGGGTGGGTGAGGAGCAGGCCCCCAGAAGTCAGAGAAATTTCTCTGATTTACCTAAAAAAAGTCTGATATTTCAGCCTTTTTTTTTAGTGAACTCTGAAAGTTCAGAGTTTTTTTTGCTGTGAACTCTGAATATTCAGAAAAAAAAAAAAATGTAGGTCTTGTCTGATTTTTCAGCCTTTTTCTCAGAGTGTACTCTGATCCATGAGCGGTTTAGTGGGTACCTACTCTAGTATTCCTGTGCGAAATCTGCACTAACAGCCGCGATGAGCGCTGCAAGTACAGTTCGCAGTCAAGGTGAAACAGTGACAGCAGTCAAGCTGAAACAGTGACAGCAGTGTCGCGCGGCGCAATCACCACCTCGTTGTAGGCTGATCCATCAGCTTCCCTACTAATGTCAACTCTGTGTAATCAGACTTTTATACTCTTGAACTCTGACTATAAAAGTGTACTAAGTCTGACGAATCAGACAGCCCCAAAACGAATCTGAGGGTCTGGTGAGGAGTGGAAGAGCAAAGTTCCAAAATGAAGACGTGGGTGGAGGCCTACTGCAATCAACAATAGATCGTAACCAGGATCACCTCAGGAGGGTTCGCACACTTGTAGTCTAGTAGTGGTGGGCCCTTGGATCTCAATAGTAGAGTGAATGTAAAATGCTTGAGATAATGAAAACATGCAAATACAACGATATAAATAAGAGTACAGCGGAATACGAATCGACCTAGCTAGCCATGTACTCTAAGGGGTGCATTCCCTTATTCAAATTCATTCCCAACCGTGCGGCGCGTACAGTTACGAAACGGTTCCCGCCAGAATCTTTCTGCCTGCAGCTGCCCGATGCCATCTGCTCCGACGGTCCAGATGCATCTCAACCGTCTGACGTTTCGAGTCAATTCTGACTCTTCACATTCGTTCTCGATACTGCATGCTCCTTTAGCTGCGGTCGGGAGTGCACTGTAATCTTCATTCATTGCTATTCGTAACACCCCCCTTCACTCCTGGCCGCAGCTCGACTTGACCTGCTTGACCACTCCGCTGAGTTCGGAGCAATGCTGATACTGCTGGCGTGGCAGTCGCTTCGTGAGAAAGTCTGCTGCCATGTCACCAGTCGGGCAGTAGGTCAAGTTAACCTTGCCTTTGTCCACTTCGTCCTTCACGAAGAAATACCGCAGCGCAATGTGCTTGGTGCGGTTGACGAAACCAGGTTTGTTCGCGATGCGAATCGCGCTCTGGTTGTCGCAGTGAAGATGAAAGGTGGACGAAGCTGGAATTTTCGCTTCCTGCAGGAGTTCCTGCAAGTAGAGGCCTTCGCGAACTGCTGTTGTTGCTGCGATGAATTCCGCTTCGGCTGACGACAGGGCAACCAGCTCCTGCTTCTGCGAATTCCAAGAGATTGGTCCTGTTGGTTCGAGTCGGAACAGGAAGCCAGTCCTTGACCGTCGATTGTCGGGATCTGCTGCGTGATCGGCGTCCACGTAGCCGATGAGATTGAAGGATGGGGTTGGTGCAGTTGAGTAGCACAGCCCAATCTTGGGCGTTGAAACAAAGAACTGTAGGGCGCGCTGCAGGTCCAGAAGATTCTCAGCCGTTGGTTTGCGTGAGTACTGGGCCAGCTGACTTGCGATGTAGGAAAGGTCAGGCCTGCATGTGATAGAGGCAAAGAGCAGGCATCTCAGCTGCTGCTGGTAAGTCTGAACTCCGACAGGGGATAGGGCTTTGTTGTCAGGTTTGTGGTTCGGTCCCGGAGTTCGGTAGGGAGTGGAGAGTGGTGCAGGTGAAATGTTGAACCGCTTCCCTAACTCCTCTGCGTACTTAGCCGCTGAAAGGTGAATGGCCTCAAGTGCGTAGGAGATGTTGAGGCCTAAGAATTGCTTCACCTTGTAGTTGCACGTGATGTCGACGCGCCCCGCCAGGCTTTTCTCGAACTGCTCGAGTAACTCGTTGCTTGATCCCGTGTAAAGCAGGTCGTCGACGTAGACCGTGAGGAGAATTTATTCGCCGCGGAAGTCACGGCAGTACATTCCTGGATCGTGCGGCATCTGCTTGAACCCGATTTCAAGCAGGATGTTGTGCAGATACTACTGCCAAAGCCTTGGTGCCTGTTTTATCCCGTACAGGGATTTGCGCAGCTGGCATACGCGCGAATCCCCTTCGCCGTATGTGTGCGGCTGCTCCACGTAAATCACGGCGTCTACTAACGCGTACAGGAACGCGTTCTTCACGTCGATCTGACGGTGATGCAGGTGCCTTGCGGCTGCGATGGCGAGCAGGATTCGGACGGAGGTGTGGCGGGTGATTGGGGCGAACGTCTGGTCGAAGTCGATGCCGTGCCTCTGGTCGTATCCGCGTACCACCCAACGCGCCTTGAAGCGCTCGATTGTTCCGTCCGCTGCGGTCTTCACGCGGAAGACCCATTTCCCTGAAAGAACTCTTGCTCCTTTGATTGCCGCACGGTCGACTAGCACCCAAGTGTCTCGGGATTCGAGCGCCTTGATTTCCGCGTCCATCGCCTCATGCCATTCTTTGCTATGTGGTCCAGTGAGAGCTTGGCGCGGGTTTCGCGGCTCGATGACACGTGGCGCCTTCGAGGTTGCGGTGTGAAGCCCGAGCAGCTGCAATCCTGAAACGGTGCTGTCGTGGCGACGTTGCGGGATGACTTCCTGCACATCGTCGTCATCGCTCTCTGGTTCAGGTGGTGCAGGTGAAGCTGCGCCACTGCCGCTTCCGCCTGTTCCGCCCATTCCTCCTCCGGAGGAGTCATCGTCGTCGTCGCTGCTGCGATCTCCCCGTGTGAACTCGCCCCTGGTGTCCTGCTCCAGGATTGCTGCCGCAGCTTCATCCTCGGGCGTTGCGTAGCTGTGCCCATTTTTTGCATAAACACGGTTTGCATTCGTCTGCTCGTCGTGGCGGAACTGGTCGAGGAAGAGGCATTCGTAGAAGATCACGTCCCGAGCGTGGGTGGTCTTCTGACTGAGCAGGTCCAGCACGATCCACGCCTTGTGCTCGTGGCTGATGCCGAGGTGAATGCCCCAACGTGCGCGGCTGGCGAATTTACCGATGGTTGACGTTGGCGGGCGGTATTGGACCATGCACCCCCACACGCGGAGCATGGACATGTTCCCCTTGGTCCCGGTCCATTTCACATGCGGGGACAGGTTGCCGGTGATGGCGGTAGTTGCCAGTAAGTTGTGCACCCGCACGGCGTGGTGCATCGCGTAAGTCCAGTAGATCGGCGGCAGTTTTGACTGCTTCATCAATGCTCGCACCTTCGTCATCAGCATACGGTTCGTCCGCTCAGCTACGCCCTGCTGCTGGTGTGCGTAGGGGAGAGAAATATGGTGCTCGATCCCCTTTTTCGCGAGGTAACTCTGCATTTGATTGCTCCTTAACTCCTTTGCGCCGTCAGATTGCCAGATTCTCAGCTTCTCCCCGGATTGCCGCTGCGCGTGCGCAAGCCGGAGCCGGAACACCTCATAGGCTCTGTCGCGTGTTTCAACGTTCGCGATCCACACATAGCGCATCCCGGTGTCGATGAAGGTAAGCGTGTACATTTCGTCGTCGACTCCGCAGTGCCCCATGTTCCGGAAGTCGCTGTACACCTTGTACAGCTTGGGGTAGCGGTTCGTCCCTGGCTCGAGCAACGGGAACGGCTGGTGGCTTAGCGCAGCTTCGAGGCAGACGGTGCAGTTGCGCGGATGTGTCGTGCCTCTCACTTTGGTGCCGTCTGGACGTAGCAGCACCCCAGGAGCGAAGACTCCTGCGTCGATGCAGTTCTTCAGTGTCGCACGCGAAGGATGTCCGAGACGCTGATGCCAGAGCGCATCGCCAGTGCGAAAGGCGGAAGTGCGCATGTAGCGTGCGCGAGCTTCTTCGGGATCCTCATCAGGTACAAGGGCAGGTGCTGCTGGTGCTTCTTCTGCTGCTTCATCTTCGTCGTTGGCGGTAGTCAGCATTAGCGCCAGAATCTCTCTGTCGCGAATCTCAGAGAGGGGGACGTTAGTCCCAGGGATAGTTCCAGGGAAAAGGATCGGTTCGCGCGACTCGGGAGCAGTTCCGTAGACGGTGCGACGCGGGGTTGACGGTTCGTTGCCCCAGTCGATGGTGTCCCAGGGGTCGCGCTGCGGTGGGTTGTCACGAGGGGGTAATGCGAGTGGAGTGCGGCGCGGGGGACGACCAAGAGGAACAACTGCAGGTGTTGCCTCAGTTTCCTCTGCTTCATCTTCTCCCCCCTTTTGTTCTTTGCGGAAAGTTCCAAAACCGCTGTTGTCGGCGCCAGTTGCGGCGCCCCATCCCCCGCTTGCGCTGGCCCAGGTTCCGCCGCTGGCTTCCCATCCGCCGGTATCACTCGTTCCCCATCC